ACATTCCTTTCCTATTACAAAGAATTCTTGTACATTAACCTTGTAAACTTGTTTTGATCAATAAATAATACACTTTTTGAACCACGCGGGCAAATCGACGTGTTCTCTCTGTGTTCTTGTGCTGCGGATTTTTTGGCATTGTCGGTCACTACGTTCTAACCTTGAGCAATATTCTTCTACAGATCTCGTTCCGTCTCAACTGATTTCACCATCGTCGTTTGTCATCCATCGGAGTTGCTGACGCAAGAGGACTAGGAAGTTTTATGTGGTAGGACTTCTAACCCACGTCGGAACCCTTCTGTGAGTCTTGTCGTTTCTGATCATCATTTATTCATCTTTATTTCTCTTTGGGTCAGAGTCCACTAAAATATAAACAAGGTTTACACGTTTATTAACATTGATGTCAATGATTAATTTAATAAAACCCAACGTTACTTGCATAAGTTTGATTCATGTTGTTCTCAATGAACAATGTTATAATTCGTTGACAAATGCCAGGTTGTAACCTACTAGTGTAAAATTATAACAGATCCTCTTACTATTGACGGTAAACCACTGTCTCAATGCTATACTTCGGTACTTAGGGTTGCGTTACCGGTACATCCTAAATTTTGCTGAGAACGCAGGACGTACTGCAGCAAATGCTGGTCGAAGCATCGAGCTTCTATTCAAAACAAGTACTCTAAATGAATCAACAACTACACTTTACAAAATACGAACACGGCCGTAACTAGATTATGGCTTCATAATCTACTGCAATCCCACAGTGAGTGACCGTATAGCATTAGAGCAAATACAACGGTCATTTACTAAATGTCTCACTGGCTATCCCTCCACACCAACCTAAATAGATGGATGCATTGCCATACAACTTGATCCATTATGGCTGCACCGCATGGAACTCAACATTTTCCTTCTATGATACCCTAACGAGTAATATACATTCATCAATCTGGTACTGCAAGTAAAAGAACCGGTAAGGTACTGCACTTGAAATGAATTTCTTAAGGCATGAAATTCAGCTGTTGGCACTAAAACAGCGACTGGTACACTGAGACTAATTATGACGAATCCAACCCCTTATGAAAGTGGAGCGAAATGGATATGATTTCAATGCTCCATTTCCTCTTTTAGGCTCAACATAATTGAATTCATTCTGTCAAGTTTAGCAGGAGCATTAAGTTACTTCTTAGAACAACGTGATTTTTCCGCATACCTTAAATCGGAGATTATCAAGACTAACAATTGCCGCAGCTTTTTCCATTTTATTTCTCGGTATTGATCCACATTGCTAATTTTTATTCCATGCTGGGGTTATCACAAACAAGTGATACGTTGCAGTGTTCCGTACTCTACAATATCCATGTTGATTAAATTTTCTGTTGTTTTCAATTGGCATGACCCCATGGAATCAACTGAAAATCCTTCACGAACTTCACTGTTTAGAAACACCCCAAACGCCCTACCGAAAACAAACGTTTATTAATTTGAGGTTAATCGTAGCAATTTTCCAAATCAGATAGTCGTCCACATGCCCGGAAAAGCACTAGACTGCACTTCAGCCTGTTGGGCATCGTCAGTAGTGCGCATGCATCGGATCCCTCAGGATTCGAACCCATGACCAAAAGCGGCTTGAACCGCCAGTCTGCAGCTCATGCCGCTAGGCCACGGGGTCAGCTTCGGACCGTCATGATTTGCAATCTAGGTGCGATTTTTAGCATAAGCTGCTGACTGGCGGTTCAAACCGCTGGTGGTCATGGGTTCGAATCCTGAGGGATCCGATGGATGCGCACTACTGAGGATGCCCAACATTCTGAAACTGCAGTCTAGTGCTTTTCCGGGCATGTGGACGACTATCTGGTTTGGAAACTTGCTACGATTAACCTCACTTATTTACATCAAAATCCCCTACTCGTGAGTACATCAAAGTTTATTTATTTATTTGCATGCTCACTTTGATTTCTTGTATCAAATGTCACAGGCACTTACCACATCACCTCTTATTCTAGAGAAGCGTGTATCATTTTCAGCCTAAAGCACTGTTTCTCTTTTCTTTTCCTTGTTGATCAGGAGTGGGTCGATCTCCTGCGGTGGTGGATTGAGGCTATACAGATAAATAAGTATAGCTCCGCAAGGCGAATTATCACAAATCTACTGGCGAAAATAGGTTGCTGGACTCAAAAAACCAACAATTTTGACGGCATATAACATACAACAGTGGAAATAAAGAAGAATCTTCTTGAGAACCGCCTAAGGCTTACAAGAGCCTTCAAAACCTGTTAGCAGGTTGACGGCTCACTTGGCTTTATTTCACGTTAGCACAATGCCAGGAAAGGCGTGGTAGTGCGGGTGAAACGTTTCAAAGGACTCTTTCGCAAGGAAGCTGGTCGTCAGAAGACTGTACCACAGATGGCTGTATTATTTTACTTGGACTACTTGCTCTGCCTACATTCATTATTACGGCATGATTTCCGCAATATTCTTCCTTTGATATAAGTAAACATCGCAAAGCTACCTAGGGACTTACATTGTGAAATTCATATATGTACTCAATCAACCAAGTATACTGTATATAAAGAACATAAAATGCATTTGGTCTGTGTCCTGCACCGTCCACAAAATAAAATTTATTTATTTATGTTGATCAATTAAGCCTAATGTATATCTTAAGCCAAAACGTGTTTACGGTAAACCTGCTGCAGCTATTCCTACATGGAAACCGGGCGGTATTCTGACGAGAATCTGATTTGATTTGTGCCAAATTCACTATTCGATCGGTGCAGCATGTACTGTGTCAGCTTCCGAAAGCATGCATCGAAATTACGATAAGACAGGCATTATGTGTACTAAGGTGGGATTCCCCAGGTTGAAACACGCGGAGGGAGGCGTGATGTCGTTGACATTTCCGGCCGGCATCACAGCGTGGTGGGTTTCAAAATATCTTAGCAATGATGCTTGAGGATACTAAAAATGCTGAAGGTAGATAAAATACAGTATCCATATGTTTCAGCAGTCACGGTCTTAGTGATCCAATTGACCAAGGATCAATTCAACCGGAACCGCCGTCTACATTGAGTTTGCTACTCGTAATTCAAATTCAAACAAATACTTGCAAATGACCCTGCAACCAGTGATCAAATGTGCCACGGCTCGGACATCTTGACCTGGTGGTTTAAGGTTTAGTAGGCCCAACTAATGATGTCTGCTGTTGTCGCAGACACTGCTAGAGTACAGCGTAGGCCAATGCAAGCAATAAAGAACGAACAGCGCGAGTACGAGAAATCCTGACTTAATTCTGAGAACAGAAGCTGATCTAAATGCGGGTGAAACATTCACACTGTACAGTCTGCACTAGCCGATCATGGGTCCTGATATCAAATCAGCACTGGTCCGATGATCAATATCTTTCTGGTGCGTTACGCGTCGGCCGGGTTGACCTTCGGCTCAGCTTGTTCTGGTATTATCGCAGGTGGTTGAGTGAACATAATTGACGTGCTCCGCTGCTTTGCGCTCGAGAAACCGTAGCTGCCTTGCATTTTCCTCCTTAGGTTTTTTGATGTGCGATCTCCGTCTTGGATCAAGCTACAACGGAGTTACTGGGTTACGCGTCCGACAGAGTTTATGTCTTTACTGAAAAGATGTTATCTGTCCTTGGGACTAGGTTACATGCCGTTCCAACTTCAGCAGGCCTTTTTATTTTGCACGCCTTCAATAGAAGATCAAGGATAAAAGATTCATGGCCGCTCCGTGGAACAGGACAAAACTTTCGACGGAGTTGGTTTACGTGTCTCTTGTACAGCAACGATCCCACCTGGACGTCATACAAGACAAGCCCAATACGCCCTTTAATGATGGTGATAGCTCAGATTTTATGACCACTATGATAGTCTCTAACTAACACGCAGTCACAACGTACGTTTCTCTTGCTGAATTCTGATTACTGTACTATAGAGCAAGTAGAAAGAAATTATGTACAAACCATTCAATAAATGGTGAAAAACTTTGTAAAATTCGTCAGCCGTCCAAGAAATATTTCCATGAAACGAAGAAATCAAATGAACTGCCATTGGTAAATTCTGTCCCGAACAGCTGGAGTGATAGGATATGCCAATTGAATGCTAACGGGCGCAGAGCAGAAGTATTCCATCATCGAGAAGAATGTCTTACGATCGGGTGGGCTTTAGAGAAGTGAAGAACATACTAACTCTTAGCGAATGAGTTACATGTTATTACTGACAACAAACAGCGATAATGTTGGATGACGTTGTAGGACCTGTAGGGGCGTCTGCTTCCATGGGCCTAACGGCTTCAAGTATTTTCGTTTGCCATGGAGCATATAAAAGGAACGGAGAACCTACTATCAGACCAACCTGAACCAAAATGTTAATCTCATACAGAGTGTGTTCAGAGCACTCGACCCTTCTTCTTCCCTCAAATGCTCAAACGCATATTTGTTGCCCCGCCTAGAGTGCTGGATTTAGACTAGGTAACGCTGACTGACACACGAGCTGGCCTCACTGAATACCGCACAGCGAAGGGCAAGCAACATGACAAAGCGATTTTTCACATGACATACCAACTGACTGTAAGCTCTGGGAGTGTAGAGTGCTAGATCTTGAAAATCTTGGGCACGGTTTCCGCTACCTACTGAAAAGTGATTGCAACCCAAAATTGTGGGATCACCAGATGCAACTGGCTTCGCAATGCCGTTGGCCGGAATGTCACAGGAAATAATTTTCTTTTCGAATTTGTCGGCCTGGAACACTCTCCGACTTCGATCATTTCGGCGCTTAAGTGGTCCGTTTTAATAAAACGACTTGGTGATATACTGCAATACCTGCATTAGTTAATTTGCGTTCTATTCAATGAGTGACTAATAGATACAGATCAACGTGATACTCAATAACACACAATAAATGGGGGTAAAACGGATTTATTTGTTCATTAACGGGGATAATGTGGTGAGTCCACGGATGCACGTTTCACTTTGGTAAGCTTACCTAGATCATGCGGACCATCCCAGGCACTTGTCAAGCTTTGGCTTTTTTGATCTTATTATACCACTATTCCATTGTTCCATCCTTTCATGTGAAGATTTCCACTTCCTTCAAATACCTATGCTGAACGCGTTTAACTGTGAGTCATGAATTTGGTCTAAATATTTCGAATAAATTTGCTCAGTACTCTGAACCACATGTGTCTATTCGTTTCATCACCAACAGCCTCCGAGCATTTGCTCATTTACAGTGACTTACGCACTAGGTTTAGTCCCTATCTTCTAATCACTGTGGTATCAACAAACACATTTCAAAAGCGTTAAGGCTGCCACCTTTTAGCTTGACGCCAAATATGTGGTAGGTGGCGGCAAACTGAATTTGCACACCATTTCACTTGTGTGCAGAAGTGATTCAGCTTTGTGCGTATGTAAGCTCAGTGCATTCTCCATCCAGCTTCGAATAGAAAATCGAATTTAGTGATCACATTAAATCTTGTATTTGTACCGATACACCTTGAATGCACACACGCACTGCAATATTTGTAATTTGCATACGCAGCCGTGAGTTATTCAAGTTAACACTCATTTGTGTTGTTTAAAATAGACTTCGCTTCAGTCTTTACACGGCTGTGAGTCGTCCATCTCCGTCAGTTGGGATATGTTCATATTGGATGAACGTATTTCACCAACTAGTTCAACGCATGCAATCATGTTACATTTTTCATCGTAAAGTTTGTAGACTGGTACTCCTCTCACCTGAAAACGACAAGAAAACACTTTTCGATTAATCGACGCGTACTGCACTTGTCATGTTGGTGAACACAAGTGTTGAAAGTAGGGTTATCTTACCGATATATTTGGCGTCTGATATAAATAGTTATAAGTGTAAACGCGACCAGGTTCCATCGGACATTTGGGTTTCATGTGTTCGCATATATCTGGTATCTCGGCGAAAGCTTTGTGGCACATTAGTGGCTTTGAATTTTTCAAGCACACCTTGGCCTTTCCTGAATGAACCGCTTTTTCTGGACAGAAAACAGTTAGTCTCGATAAGACAGCAATCCCATGAAATGAACTAACATAAACACGTCAAGAATGTTGAAAATAAGAAATCAATGAGCACACGGCAGCTGAAGGACAGGAAGAAGGAAGTGTGGGCACACTGCAACTTTCGGAACAAACTACGCGTGCATTGTTAGATGCAAACCCATTCACATTCACAGCAAACAGACTGAAATCACAGCCACAAATGTAGCGATGTGCCACTTTTCACCTAAATCTAGTGTATTAAAAGCATCCTTGCCTGGATCACAATGCAGAATAAACCAGTCACCGTATTCTCACTTGGTTTGAACACAATCGATGTTTTGATGATAGTGCCCCCCACAAAGTCACACTCATCTGCATCGCATCCCGATATAGCAAAACTGATGAGGGTTTTATCCGGAGCTGATAAGTATGTAAACATATAACTTAACAGTGAGTATGGCCATTAGAGAAGGCATGGAAATTGTAAATAGGAATAAGTGCTAAGTTCAAAGTGATCACGTAAAAAATAGTTAAATTTTGTTCACTGAACCGCTGGACAACAGTGGTCAAGTTAGAGAGGTGGACATAATATGGAACTGATCAAATTCAGGAGTGCCATACAGTAATTTCAAGAGCACACGCTTCGTACAATTACTGTACTCTATTTGTAAACAAATCTAAGCACAATGTGACGTGTATGATAGCTTAGCTTACCTAAAACATGGAGATTTACTCTAGAAATATCCCTTTTACGAAGCAAGAATGAGAAGATCAAAGCAAATCAAATAAATATTTAAAGTTATTGGACTCACAGCAATCACTGTAGTATTTCTTTGCTCTCAATGTTGTCAGTAAAAGCATCAACATGCAAACGATTGCCAAGGAGTCCATGCTCTGCGTTGAGCACCAATATTATACCTTCGCCCAAGACGGAAGAGCGCACTTATTTATATGCCCATAATTGTTTGTCTTCCCAAATGTCAATCCATTTGTGCTGTGAGACTCAGGTGTTTTGCAAACAGCAAGGCTCAGCTGATAAAAAACTTGTATTTCCCGTTTCACGGTCTTCTGTATTAATTGATTCTTGTTGCTCAGGATTGCAAGCGCAATAGAAAAATACACAAAAATTCCAAAATTCAGTATATAATGATAATATTTGTTTTCTCCACTAGCTTGTTGTGGATGTTTGTTAAAGTGGACTGGCTTGATTTTTGGACAAAAGAAAGCACACAAGATCAATTGTTTTCATTCATATGTTTACCAATTGCCCGTGGGCTACAGTTGAACCGGCACCGCCGTTCGAAAAACAACACACGTTTTAACGACAGGTTGACACAGATAATAATGTCCACAGATGGCTCTAAACTTTGTTCTGGTTCTCATCCGGTGAAGGCTGCAGCGCGTAGACAACATTCCTTCCAGACACAGTTGTTGGCAACTGCATCAAACTTGACGCGAAGTCTACACCGGAAGAGCTGTTTAACAGCACAACACCGCAGGTCCGGCGAGTTCAACTTCTTCTCCACATCCTCGTGTATACGTATAATAAACCTTGCAAATTTCCTTCTAAACCTGCAACTCCATTAATTTTACCACCGCACATGAAAAGACCATAGATACACTATAGCACTGCAGACTTGCTATCTGTACTCACAACCTAATTCGCTTTAGCGCGATGCACCGAACGCTGGAGCTTACATTCACAATTCTCTTAAGAGATTTACAACGAACGCCCAGTCAACTGTTGTCCAACAAGAATCAACGCCTAACAACAGTGACAATGAACAATGAATTCATAAGGGTTAAGAATTTCTGCATTACAACTCCCGTTGGAATGTTGTTAGGGATAAGAACATCACAGTAATGATAACAATGGTAGTAAGTAGTTAGTATTTGAAACCTGAAATTAAGGACATAGTTTGCTCCGCCGTATTCCTGCAATCCGCTTTGTTTCACGGCACACACAATTAACATCAATTCACTCCATGGTAAGCTTCAGATGTAGGATAATTGCCTGGAGCAAGCCAAGTCTTTTTGAACCAGGACAACCAAGTCACATTCGACAGTGGGTCGTTGTAGCATATTCATTCCTTGCTGGTTTGAGTACCTGCTCTTGTCTCTCGGATGGAAATTATCTTGCATTTACTGAAGTTGAAATGCAGTAATTTTTGGTTTGAACATTGATACACCGCATCTAGGTCACACTGAAGCGCCGATTGGTCGAGATTCGCCTGGATCCTGCGCCAGATCTTGATATCATCGGCAAACCTTAAGAAATTTGAAGCGACTCCTTGTGCATGGTTATTGATAAACGCCGAATACCAACTTGGACCCAGAATTGAGCCTTAGAGCACACCCCACTCAACTTGTGGGGTGTCCGATAAAGAGTTACACACTCTGACAACTAATCGCAGTTGAAGGTTGGCAGTCCAGCTTAAATGGATGTCGGCGATCCCGTAATGCTGGAGCTCGGAGATTAGGATCATATGGTCCAGGTAATTGAATGCTTGGAAAAATCCTCACGTCAGCAGCCTCGGTCCAACTAGTACTTGCGATTAGCAAATTACTTTTACATGACAGCTCTCCACGGAAACCGTGCTGATCAGGCGTGATGAGATTGCAGTTTTCCAGACAGCACGCCAGTGCATCCGCAACAATGGATCCCATGAGCATGGAGAGTGTAAGAAGAAGGGATACTGGACAGCAGTTGGAGCGAAATGTTCTGCGTTAATCTTTGTGAATCTGGGTCATGATTTCAAGCTTCCATATGGCGGAAACTTGGTTCTGGTCTAAGCAGCACTGCGAAAGCTGACCTAAATCTCCTGCCAGTGGGCTTACTGCTGCTTCCAGTGCCTCTAGACGAATGGTGTTGACACCCGGCGATCTGCGTTCGTGTAGAGATCTCATCGTTTGTAATAGAGCCTCTGTAGAAAAAGCGTTATTGGTTAGTATTTGCGAGGCGACGACTATGGTTGGAACATCGCTGATGGCCAGACCATCTGATACATGGGCACAAGTTTCATCCGCATAGCGTTTGCTGAATTCACAGCCGTCCTTGTTGGTTATCAAACCACCTGGGTGGAGGAAATCCTTGCCACACACTTCGTAAGTTATGGAGGGGCTTGTACAGCACGTTGTGGTTAGCACTGAAGTTTTGTCGAAGTAAAGCTGAACCACCTGACTCATTGTGTTTCTAACTCTAGCAGATTGCGGAAACGCCATACAGACTCATTGTCCAGGTCCCGCTTAAACACGTCGTGATCTATTTGATCGGCCATCGTCCACCACCATTTAACTCGATCAGTGAACTATATGCAACACAAGGCGGTAACACGCGAAGGCTCAGTAAAGAACACTAGAAACAGGCGCGTACCTACCACTGGTTCTTTCTAGTTGCGCAATTCAAATGAATGGGAACGTAAAACACACTTCAACATCTAAGCAACTGTTACCTCTACTGCAAGAGATTCCCGATCCACCCAAGGACAGGATGCCAAACTCGGAGCTTTTGAGTTTGTGAAGCGAAATGCGATGGTCCAGCTGGTTGTTGGCTTTGTATTAGTCGATGTAGGTAGTATTAGTCCATGTAGTTTTACCTGGCGCTTTCTTCCAGCCACTACTTGCAATCAGCAGGTGGCTGCGTAACATTTACGCTAACCAAAACGATGCTCCTCAGGTGTTGGAATGTTTACCAAAGCCTTTATGGAGGAACTAAGATCCTGGTGCAGCAAGTGCTCTAGCTATCACAGATGGCACCATAGCTAAATTCTAATAATTCTAGACGATCTGTCGTTGGGCATTGAGAGCACCTTCCTTAAATGATGCAGCTGTGAAAGAGAGGAGAACAAGGGATGAATTTGGAGCGAAGTGTGGGGACATGTAACACTACTGGGTGCTTTGTTTTAAGGCCAAAACATAATGCATCCGTAGAGCGTTGATTGTTTCTTCAGCGTTCTGTGCTAATTCGATTCATGCCTATTGTGTCAGTGTACTGTTATAGCACTCGTTGTGTGCATGCATTGCATTGCATAATCCCATTAAGAGCAACGATTTAACATGAGGTGAATCTTGGTCAATTCACTTACTCTGACCGAATCTGCAGAAGC